CTCTCTCTGCTCTCTCTCTCTGCTCGCGTCTCTCTCTCTCTGCTCACGTCTCTCTCTCTCTCTGCTCGCGTCTCTCTCTCTCTGCTCACGTCTCTCTCTCTCTGCTCACGTCTCTCTCTGCTCACCTCTCTCTCTCTCTCTGCTCACGTCTCTCTCTCTCTGCTCACGTCTCTCTCTGCTCGCGTCTCTCTCTCTCTGCTCACCTCTCTCTCTCTCTCTCTGCTCGCGACAGTAATCTGAACTTAAAAAAGTAAGTTTTTACAGACTTGAAATTTCCAGTAACTTGAATTTAAACACTTAGTTGGCAGAACTTGGAAAACTTAACTGACACAACTTAATAAGTGTAGTTCTTCAAAACTTGAAGAATTAAGTTAATGCCTTCAACTCAAAAATCCTTCGCAGCTGGTTGCTTTGAAATTTTGAGTTGAACTAACTTTATCTTTTTTACAGTGTGCATGGACCAGAAGTCCAATTAAAATAATGGACAATTGCTCCTGCAGCCCTGAACAGGACATGCGAGGTGCGCGGGTCGGCCCGAAACCCGCAGTCAACCCGCGGGTCCCGCGGTTTCGGGCGGGTTGGATGCCTCAAAAATATGAGTCATGTCAGGTGCGGGTGGGTCGGGTCAGAAAGCTCCTGATCCCTATATAATATTATATATGTGAGCCACGGTATGGGAGTCCCTTGAGTACATTTGCAATCGCGCAGGGAGGCTGTTAAACAAAAAAATCATGCTGACAAACAGGATCGCTCCTTCCTGACTCCCCGCTTAAAGCCTCAGAACACTCCAGCCCGAGGACAGACGTGTGATCTACACAGAGGCACCGAGACTGATGACGGTGTGGGCCTCACAGCAGAGGCCTAAAGCAGGGGCCTCATTACTTTAATACTTACAGTCTGTGGTAAATACACGGGCTACATGTGGTACACGTGCTTAGACTATATTAATATTGTATGTGTAACATTCAAAATAGATTGAGTGAATATTCCCTTTTCCTCATTTAGTGATTTGCGGAGGAGAGGAGAGGAGCAGCGAGAGAAGTTTGGCAGTTGAAATAAATGAATTACAGCTTGCTAAATTATTTGAAAGCATCTTCATTATGATTGTTATATTTATGTATTTATTATAAATGTTAGAGATGCCAGAGAAAAGGCGTCTGCTTTTTTTCTGAGTGGGAGGAGACACCAGCGGAGCCAATAGTTTCTCTTTCCATAACGATATTCTCTCTTTTTGGAAAGATCACCAACGTGATGCAAAAGTTTACGTTATATGCAGTAGTTTTAATGTCTGCGGGTTATTCCAGAGACTGGCCTGCTACAAGGAGTTGCCCGTTTAAACCAGATTGTCGATGTGCGCGGGGCAGAAACTCGCCAATGTAACCCTGCTCACAAGTGCCACCTGGTGGTTGTTTTGGTCATTGCAACGTCACTGGGAGGGGGGAAAATAAAAGACGCGTGAATCACACGTGATTCTCGTGTGATTCACGCGTGAAAGGCGACAAAACGGAATGGGACCTACTGTAGGCGCAGCCTTGCGTCAGTACATCCGTCTTACGCACTATAACACTACAGTACTAGTGTAATTGTCACAACATGTTAAAATGTTTCCACTTGTGATTTCAGGGACAGGGCTGCATAAACACACAAAATGAGGAGAAAAGGACAGGGAAGGTATGAGGTATATCTTCCCTGAACTTTCTGCAGTCTATTATACTCATTTTGAACACGAGGAATCAATATTACATTTAAGATCATTTAGAAAAAGTGGAATTGATTCCATTTGACCAAACCTTGATAAACATTGTAAAACAAGGAAGGATAGTTTACCCAGAACAATTAGGACGTTTCATTGATCATTTTTAATGGCCTATTGCTGGCTTTACAAACACATTATTAAACTAAAAAAACAGGTTTTTAAGACATACATGGGGAGTGCAACAGAGTTCACCTCAACAGTTTACAGTCATTAGGAGACAAAGAGAGCTTCAGTGAGCTAGTGGGTTAGCATTGCCCATTTTTATAGGAACTATGTTTTAACTATAATAATCTATTTTATTTTACATGATTTTTAGATTATCATGAATAAAATTAGCTTGTTTAGACTAAACCGAAATTGGGCTCAAAGTTAAAAAGACCTTTTATTGCGGACAGATAAACCAATTATTATTATTATTATTATGAATTGTCTCCTGGATTCAAGGTGTTGAGACGGTAATAATTTTGTGGTTGTTTTCATGAGTACCAGCTTTAAATCTCTGAAGAAAATGTGATGGTCCTATCAATGTTTTCCAGTTGTGAATATCCTTTCATCTACCCTCACTTACACCCCCGGTTGAGAAACACTGCATTAGGCAACCATATTATGTAAATGGAACTAAAGTCAGTTCCAAACCGTTTGTAACGATAAATAAATGGATAGATGTGTGGATTCACCCAGGCTGAGTGAGTAAAAAACAAAACAGCATGAAAGCAGGTATACTGGCATGGAGCTTCAACGGCCCTGTTAACAAAGAGGTTGTGAAGCAAACAAATAAACTACTGCAGTGTCCTTGACATTAAGACAACAGGCAACACTGTGGGCGTCTGAAAGGGAAAATACAAGACATGACAAAGGACTCGTGACGTTAGTAGACACGCAAAAAGAGTAGAGCAGTGGTGTCAGAAATAATCTCAAATAGGTGATGAAGCTTCCTGAAAATTGCACAAAGGAAGGGAACAAAAGTCAGTAGTTAAAAATAGCAACATTCATGAACAGACATGGCACAACCCAGCCCACGCCAACCATACAAAAACTCAAAATCACAAGACATTAAAGGCTAGTCTACGTGAGATGCTGCATGGAATTCTGCAGCCACACTATAAAGGAGAGGAATGCAAACTATGATGTGAAGGGGAGTGTGAACTGTGTGGAACAGAGGGTAACTGGCATTCCATTTGAGTTTGGTGTGATCTGAAAATAAGGGCTAGTTGCGCTATTAGCTCGTACTCTATGACTATATTGAGCAACCTGAATAATCTCAATAAAGAAGCATCTTGACTTGTTATGATGTCTGATTTGAGTAATTACAGGGCCAATTCAAAATGAGGACTCAGTGCCAGGTGGAGGCGGATTTTACATTCTTGGCTCGGACGTGCATATAACGTTGCTAATGAGGGCATTTGACGACAGGGACTGAATTACAGCGCTAAAACGGTAGGCAATTTCATCACAAATTTATTTTCCAAGAACTGCATTAATATTTTCTGAGTATAGTTTGCAGTATATAAGGGTGGTGAACAACAAAAAATAATGAAAAAAAACGGGGCGCTGTCTAGAGGCCTGTCACTGATCAGCTTAATAGGGATTTAATATGTTTTCTTACAAAACAACTTCTCAAGTCTTGTTTCCGCTGCAAATCCGCTAGATCCTAAGCTGCTAGACCACTGCTAGGGTGCCGCTGCTTGTATTTCTATTCTGGAAAAAACACACATTCTTTTAGATGATTTTGACTGCATAGCTCAGGATTGATTAGGGGCAAAAATCATAAAGGGGACTGCCTATAGGAAAGACAATATACTGGACAGAACGGAACATACTTGGGGCTTTGAGGGGGGAAAGTGGACTGGACTGGGCTTGTGTAGACTTAATCAGACGGGGAGAACACTAAGCACTTACCAGGGCAGTTGCGATACGAAACATTCTGAGTTCTTGATCCTATTCTGGTTGGGCATGGACCTTGAGAAGCATAAAAAAGACGAAGGGGCTACAGACATGCATTTCTGAAACTTTGAGTGAATTGGACCGGCTTTGTTTGGCCAGGGCACAAAGTCCTTGGGCAGAAGGTTAGTAAGTGTGCAAAAGAAAAACAAAAAAAAAGTGTCAGAATACAATGATGATAACAGTTGGACGTAAATGCACCTTGGGGCTAATCCTGCTATTAAGGCTTGAGGTAGCACGACATAGAATCAATACTGCGCTTATGAGACATCCACACAAAAATCAGCAAAAAACACTGGAGGTAAAGGGCGCTAAACTTGTGCAGGCTCAAAAACATGACTTGGAATACTTATTTCTTATTCCAGTTTTAATTACAGGTGCTAAAAGCCTTGGCGAGGTTAACCTTTAAGATGAAATGAGTTTCCTCATTTAATGGTGTTCACTAATGTGTTCGGGTTTTGCAGTAAAGAAGATACACTCGGACAGCTTGGCTAGTGATGAGTCAGGAATGTGTGTGTGTGTGTGTGTGTTTGTGCGTGCATGTGTAGGTGTGTGTGTATGCGAATATGTGTGTTTTTATTATCTAAAAGTTGGCCAAGTCTAAAATGACTGACACTAGTAAATGTTATTCCTTTCAATTCAAACACACCTCTTTACCATGCACATTTTAGTTGAGGTAAGAGTCAATAAAAGACAAATTCACATATCTTCAAGGAAAAAGAGGTGGATTAATTGAAAGTGCAAACAAATTGTCATTTAGTGGTCGCTTTGGGGATGAATAATTGAGTATAGTGCAAGACAAGAAAATGGGTTAAATGTTTAACTTGCCTAACAAGTGCAATGCGGTTACATAATGAAACATCTGTTAGCATATGGGAACACCTGTTGTATTGATGCATATTAAGCCATCAAGGTAATTCTGTTTTCTCTGCTTGATGGACTGAAATTGGTCTTTCCTTCTAATCTCGTCGCTCTTATACACAGGCTTGTAGGTCCGGGCTGAAAACACGAGTGCATCAATAATAGAAGCCAGTACAGAAGAGGACCAAAGGCTTTCACAGGTCATATTTCATAAAAAGTTCATAGTGTGACACAGATGAAGAACAAGATGAGGGAGAGAAAAGAAAAAGTGCTAGAAGGTGTTGCAAGAGCGTCTGAAAAAGGTAAAACGCCAGGAAAAATTCAAACAATGACTGAGGAGAACAGAAAAGAAGCTAGTGGAGTTAATCCAAAACAAATGTAGGTGCAGTGAAGGGAATGGTCTGTGAGTAGTGTTCAGATCAGGAGAGGAGGCTATACTTACTGTAAGGGACACACTCATACTGGACCTCCAGGTACTTGTAGGTTCCTGGACAAGGGTCAGGAAAGACATCTGACCCTGTGATTACAATGCACTGGGTTCGATTGTTACATCTGGAAGAAAGAAAAAAAAGACAGATTAGAGTAAATGTGGAGTAAATGTGGACAAAATTCAGCATAAATAACCTTCACAAAAGCCTGCAGATAGATTGGTGGAAGAGTAAATAAATAAAGTGTGGTTTTCAGATCATTCAGGTTTTATTATTGTAAAACCACTATCAGTACTCCAATATTGGAGAGGAGAATGCACTGGTAATAGACTAAAGACAACATGGACAGTCACATTAGAAATGAAGAATACATGTGATAAACTCTGATGCGCTTCACCTGCCCCACCACTTAAAAAAAGTTTGTGTACATGTCTGGGAACAAAGGAAAAGATCGAAAATAAAACCTCATAATTTGATCCTTACAAAAGGCCCCTTTAATAAGTCAAATAAGCTCTTGTTTGATCATTTAGATTTGTGACTTTGACCGTGTAAACACTGGCTTAAGTTGCATTGTCCGTTTAACACTTGACATAATTCTCAAGCGCCTGTGAGAGCAGGCCAGTCAGACCTTCTACACACATGTCTCTGAAATGTTAGAATTGTAGCCAGTGTGGGGCTGGTGCAGTGTCCACCCCTTTACTGGACTGAACCATGATTATGACATCAATACTTTGTGCCACCAGTGGACTTAAAATTCTGTTGGCAATGTGAGGAGGGCGATCGATAAGTGTGTTCTGCTGATTTAGCAGGGGCCAGAGACAATCTTTGTGTCTTATGACTTATACCAGTATAGCAGTGCGTCCACTCACGGTGGATCATTATAAAGTATATTACAGCAGTGAGTCTGCTTGCTTTGTTTTGGGCAGCTGGGGTTATCCCTGCTCCATTTCCAGATGTCATTAATATAATATTAGGTGTTTCAACACTGACTTTTCTCCAGGTGTGGGCAACACAGCACAGACAAAAGGCATGAAATTGGTGTTATTTTGGCTTTAAAAGCCACAGCTGCATAGCACGTGTGTGTGCGATGAATTAAACGAAACACACTGGGTTTATTTTAATTTTTAAGATCAGTAAAACCAGCAAAATGTTCAATATTTAATATTAGTTTATGAACTCGTCTCAATCCAACTTTAATGCCTCAATAAATCTTCTGAAAAGCTTTTTCACTCACAGTGTTCAAAACAATTGAGTCTGAGTAATGATGAATTTTCTCTAAACAAATCACATTTTGAATATTTTGACATCCTCATCTACAGAATGACATATAAATAATAGAAGTTGAATCCATTGTGGAAAAGAAGACATAGTGTGTATTAGACATATGACTGACAATAATTCAAAATACGACACTAACGAGACCCAGAGATGGCAGAAGATGCACTAAACAACAGCATAAGTGCAAACGGCTCATATTTCATTCAAAGCAAACTTGACATAAGTGTTGATAGAGCCTTGTGATGGATGGTCTCATTTTGGAGCAGTGGAACAGGAGTGTCCTGATCTATGAGCCCATGTGACACTGATTCTCATCAGAGAGACCGCGAGCTCCTCGTGAGACCAATAGAAAACAGCCAAAATGTGCTTTGAGTCAATTGACAAGTGTGTATGCGTGCAATTGTGAGTTCACTTTGGGCTTGTTTCTTAAATACACGTAAATCACACAGATATAGAATATTAGTTATTTAGAAGTCTTTTATCCCCAGGAATTTTGGTATTGGCTTCCAATGAATGTTAAGTAAATCATGTTTTGTTGCACCTTGGGAAAAAAACATGGTAAGCTCATTGGCTATTTCTGGCTAACATTCAAGAAAATTGAGCGCTTCACATTAAGAGCTTTGCTCAAATACATTTACTATTAGATACAATTGTGCTGTTGCCATGAGATGACCATGGAGCCACGCTAAATTTAGACTGATTTGAATGGCCGAAAGGTTGTTCATGCCCGCTCCCTGTGTGCCCTCTAATAGTTCCCTCACAGACTCAATTTGACTAAAGAATAGCAGCAGTGAAGACAATTGCAGTGTAACTGGAGCAGAGAGGCGACATGAGTGAGGGCAGCGCATTACGGCAAAGGCACAATCTACTTCCTGGTGCTCCCAGTTAGAATTTCAATCAAATTAGCGTCTCTTAAACTCAAAGTGACCCGTCTGGCTCCATTTCATCTGAAATGCTGATGAGGTTCATGGCACAATTATCAAGGCAGACATCTCTCTCAAGAGGCAAGCCTGTTGATAGCAGACAGGCCATTGAAAAATTAAATAATTTCCAAGGCCACGGCGATGGCAGCAAAGAAAACAGCTGAGGCAAACACAAGCATCACACACCTCCAGCACTGCTGCATTTACTGCTCTTTGTGCTTCTGCACTGGTTCAGGAAATCAGCAGTTAGAAATTAACCATCCACATTCCACACGACTCTGAGCCAATATTGGATTAAGATGTTCAAGAATTACTGTAATATGCCGTCATTTATTGCTTGGGAGGGAACTATGGGAAGGGTCTGTCTGGCTCACATCCGTCACTTACACCTATTGATTTTTAAACTAGCAAAGGTATTATCCATGAAGTCGAGGGGATTACCTCGCTGACATTTCATGGAATGACCTTAAAGCATGCAGTCACATTTAGAATGAGTGCGGCAAGGTGAGGCCACGTTCTGGGCCATTTCTTAAGGTGGAGTTGCTTAATGGCAGAATATTGTTGCTCGGGCTATTACAATGTATCTTTGAGCTAGGCAAAAGTCACATCCAGTAAATATTTTACAATTTTTAAAGTAATGTAAAAGAGTAAGAGTCCATATCTACATGTAAAAGGCTTATGAAACTAAACAGGGCAGGTCCTGGTTAGTATGTGTGCCATATTGCCTAGTATAAGCCTGGTGTGTGCATGAATGATGGTGGAGGTCGGACCGAGATTGATGCCTCGCTTCAGTCTACTCCTGGGCAGCTGTGGCTACAGCAGTAAGTGTTGTGTACGATGTGAAATAATAAAGCGATACAAATATAAGGTAATTATTTACACAATAAATAACAAAGCAAGTATAGATTATTTGCAATGAAAAACCACTAGAACAAGGTCGAGTACCACCAATGATAGAGAATAGAGCTGTAGATACTCAAGTCATATCTGCTTTTGAAACCATTTAGTTGCATTTATAGACTGTTCTAAAAGTGTATCTACAAACAAGTTTTATAAGAAAGTTTGAAATTAAACCAAGTTTAATGGCTGGTGAACTGTTGTGCGTCCCTGTGAAACTCACAAATTGAATGTGGAATGGATCTTTATAAAATCTTAATGGGCGGAGCTTTAAATAAACACTGAGGTTGTATGTAGGGAGAGCAGGAACAAGGCAGGGTGCTGTCAGGCGGACACAATGTGCCTCCTCCGAGAGCCGTGCAAGCAGTCCTGTCACTGATATAAATAGTGTTCAGGCTGCGTTTAAGTCTACGCACACAGAAAAACACACAGAAAATTTTACTCACTGCCTCTAATTATTAGTAGACAATTAAAAAAATAAATATAATTCATATAATAATTAGCAAGTAGGTTTTTGAAGTGTTCAGACAGTGTGTAAAACTGAAACAGCGTCTTGCGAATGTCAAACCAAAATGTCTCATAACAAAAGGACATTTCATTCATTCTTTAGGAGCAAATAAAGCCAATAAAACCATTAGCAGGTAATCAAAATGTTTCACCCAAATGGGAAGATCATTCTTGTTTATCTATTTAAAGTAAAGGTGCAACGGTTCATCACTGATCCGTTTGGATCAGCGTCTTCGCTTCGGTATAGACGTGATCCGCGGTTTGATTTGCCGTGGATCACCTTTCGCGGATTTGCCCCTTTCTGCACAGTCAGACCGGACTAAAGTCAACTCTCTCGCGCATCCACAGTTGCACTCACGACTGACGCTTGGACGTCCCGCGGAACCTATAATAGATCCATGAGCGGAACGGAGAGCTATGTTTTGATAACCGCTCACTTCATCACTGCAGACTGGGAGATGAGAAGTCTGGTGCTACGAAAGTCACACAGGCACGCAGCGCAGGTACTGACACAAGCAGCGGAGGAATGGAAGATGGGGCAGTCAGATCTGCACCCAGTACACAGAGCACCAGTCCCTCACTGATCCTCCTGCAGGTGCAGAGTCCACATGAGCCGTGTTTATTAAAAAGACAAAACTGTTTTTTTTTTTAAACATGAACCGAACCATGGCCTCTGAACCGAGGTACGATACGAACTGGATCTTTTCAATCCATTGCACGCCTAATTTAAAGCAACACTGTAACTTTCCAGAGGTGGAAAATTGTTCCATAGAAATAGCTATAATCAAGAAAGGAACTGAATTTCTATGGAAACATGAAAACAGGCTTTGTGGAGATCCAAGTCTGTAAGATAATATGTTTTCATTGGGTCTGCATTTCTGACCAATATATCTATTTTGATATTCTCTGTTTAAAAAGTTTGATTATGCTAAAAATAACAACTTCAAAATAGTTCCAATGTGATTTATTTGAATTCCAAAACATATGGAAGTAACTATATCCCTCATGGATGATAAGAAAAGTACACATTTCCAAGACTGTTATGAAGAATTTATAATGACTCCTGGTTTGTATATATGCACAGATTTGTATGGTTTCACTATATTATGTTAAATTAAATCTGTTAAATACAATATACATGTAATGCCATATAACGTGATGTTTAAAAAAAGTTAATTTACTGACATAAACTGGCTAATCTGAGTTGGTACTGACGGAGAAAACATATACAAACTGTCGCACAGTAGTCTGACACATGCATCATATAGTACCAAAGCTAATTCGCAGCAATTTTCCCTGGATTTTGACTTAGAGAAAAAAACATGAATGCCTCTGTACACTATTCTCCTTCCACTGTGCACTTTGTCATTTAGTGGCATATCTACATTGATCACGCTGTCTGTCATATGCTCTTTGGACATCTCAGGAGACCCAGCGGTGACAGAGCGAAGCCATGTTATATTACAGTAATCAATGGCGTTGTTATCAAATACTTAGGCTGGAGCTCATTAGTCACAAAAATCCATAGATGCGGGTCACTTATTCATATTGTATATCCTAATGTGTTGCTCCGGTGACAATGATCAGTCAAGACGCACTTGCATCTCTGCTCATGCTTAAGGCTTCGTATACAGCCTGCAAATATAATGAAACAATAACAGCAGATGGGGATATGCGATAATAAATATGATTGCAATGCACTTTCACATTTTCTTTTAAAGTGTTTTCATCAGCAGTTAGCATTAGGATCATTATATTGCAGAGATGTAATTATTTTGGCTTAGAATTCTGAAATGGGGTACATGAAAAATCTTCTCATTGAATACTGTTATCGCAAAATTAATTATTTCAATGTCTCACATCTGCCAGGGAGGTGTCCATGTAAAAAAAAAAAAATCCTCCGCACATTATCACCCACTTGAGTCGACTAATTGCTTGCAGCTGAGTGTTCTAATTGAGCCACAACAGTCCTAGGGCTATTTTCATAAAAAATCATTATGCTCATGAATTTAAAATGCCAGCCAGATATAAAAAAAGAAAATGAAAAAGGTACGGTGAGCCAAGAGAATGCATCAAGCGCAGCGCAGTCTCAATCCAACTCTTCACACTAAGAATAACACTGATATTTATATAAAAGTGAACACAGTTTTCCGGTGCTAATGTGATTTATTTTGCGCACGCACATATACATAGACACACAAACACACACACGCAGACGCGCACACACACACGAATATCATGATAATTATGGAAACAAATAATTTTAGCGTTTAAATCTTTTAGTAAAGGAACCATAGCAGGCAAGACTTATCTCTGTTAAAACAACTAAAATGGATTAATATACAGCTGTATGTTTTTGTGGCGGCATGTGTCAGAAAATAATTAAAACTGGGGTGCCAAACTTTATAATCCCAAATACTGAAACATGCATCAATCCATCTATCTTCTACCCCTTAATCCATTTCTGGGTCGGGGGGGTGGCAGTCAGAGCTGCACCCAGTACACAGAGCACCAGCCCCTCACTGATCCTCCTGAAGGTGGTGAGTCCACAGGAGCCTTGATCTGCAGCGGGGGCTTCAGGCAAAGTGGGGTTAAGTGTCTTGCCCAAGGACACAACAACAGCAGTCATCAATTGGCGTCGTGAAGTAGATCTTGTGGTGGCCTCGAACCCACAACCTTCAGTCTCTAAGGCTAGTGCTCTACCAACTGAGTCACCGCCATTGAAAAAATGTAATAAAATCAACCTAACAAGCTTTTGGTTCTATCACTAGTTTCATATGCATGTATTTTAGGCCTTTGTCACATTTAGATACATTTTTTTCTGACTGGAAAGTGAAAAAGAGGACCAGTCTCACAAAATTCTCTCAGCCGAAAGCGTCAACTAATATTTTTTTTTATTGTAAGAATATGTACGTTTATCAGTCCCCAGAGTTTCAATGTAAAATGCCTGGTTCCTGGTTCCAAAGTGACAAAATTCCGTGTGATAATATGATAACCATCAATGGAAATGTCTAAAGCAAAAAAAAGACATGAAGGCCAGGACCAAAATGTAGCAAAAACACCCTGATATTTTTAACATTAGCATCACATTCAGCCCTGCTCTCCGAGGCAGCCAATATGTTTCACTCTCTGGGTTTTTTTAGTGTGAATAATTCCACCCACACACCTGAGAGACCTTTCATATCCAGTGGCTTTCTATAAAACACATACTTCTCGTGTTGCTCAAACAGCACAATCGTATTTTCGGTGACATTGAAATGCCAAAAAATATTTAAAGTTCTGAACGCAGCCAGTGGCAAAGCAAGTGGGTGAGATTCGTGACATCGATACAAACGGTTCTCAAACTGTGGTTTAGTTCCTGCTGCAGGTCAAGTTTCATTCTGGGTTGAATTCTGACATATTTAAGGTTCTGTTTGAAACTCAGACAGCTAACCATTGAGTTAGAAAAGATTACAGTTCTTGTTTGTGTGTAAGAAGAACCATGTCAGTCACTATTGGATGTTTTGGGAGCTGACTTAAAATGTCATCGTTGTGGACACGCTTTTACTACATTTTTCCCTCATCAGATAGAGACCTGGAGTTTTTTTTTTTGAATCATACACAATAATATGAGGAAGTTCTAGCAAAAATCAAGTAACTCCGCTCCTTCTGTCTAAAAGATCTTGTCTCAGTCCATTGCACCAATAAGACATCTCGCTTTGAGCAGTTTTCTGCCTTTTAAAACAAAAGTAATGCCTATGAATTAGCTTCAGCAATTTATTCGGTGAAATCACCCGGGTGTTTGCAGCCGGTAAATTTCAAATTTGGAAAACACAAACAAATTCAACTACTCCCTCTGGTAGTAACAGATGGAAAGTCAGAATAAAAAATAAAAAAATCACCAAAAAATAAAGAGTAATATTTCCTCTTTGAAGCTGGGGTATCTATACTACATGTTGTTTATCCAAAATGGAAGAGTTTTGTAAAAGGAGATTGAACAAATTAAACCAAAACATGCTGTATTCATCATTTTAGAAAACCTTGTTTATATTGTTTGCTGTGATCCCTCAGAATCACTAGTTCATGCTTTGAGCTGAGAGCTGTGTTCCTTTCTTTGTCCAGGACACTCTTGAAAAAGTGAACATAAAATGTGACAGTGGTCAATAGGTTTGGTATTCCAGCTTAACAAACTGGATCTATATAACCATAAATAACACACTTCCCAAATAAATCAAGTTACAAAAACAAAACTGGTGGTATTATCAGTGGGAAGTTTCAGAGAGGCTATAATGATTGGCAAAACTTTTCAGCCATGGATTTGGTTGAGTCGATCAGTGTGTGTTCTGTCCAGGCAGGCTTAGCAACAGCGGTTCTACCCAGGGCCACGAGCTAAGAAAAAGACATCTTGAGCGAGCAAACAGTGCTCATCAAACTTGGCTTGACAATAAACCCTTGCATACAAGAGCTTGTTTTTTTGTATTATTTCCCTGGATGAATTGGCACAGACAGGCTGACATTCCTGGATAGAGACAATATCTATTCTCTATCCACTGTATTTTCGGCTCCGAAGGCATCTCTGTGTGTGACAACTGCTCTCATGTATAGGGAGAGCAGTTGGACATGGCATTGCGACCGGGGCAAGTCCATGCACCTTGGCGGCAGGGGTTGACTTTCTGACCGAAATAATCCTGCTTTTGACTGATGGTGAGAGGAGAGAGCAGAGTAGAAAAGCTCAAGGCCCGGAGTTGGATGTTAGTGATCAATCAGTCGGATTTTAAGATGTATGAGGCGTCTTAGAGAGTGTCCTGCCAAAGAAGCTGCCCCTAATCTGACACAGGATTTAGCACAGGGTTAAAAGAGCAATCATTTGAATTTAGGGAAATGTGTTTGGAATAAAGACTGCGATGAAAAAGGCAAGCAAATTTAGGTTAGGGATGGTTTGGAACAACATTTTTAGAGAAGTTGATCTTTCAAAGCTACAGTATGACTAGGATATATTCAGAGCCTGCCGATATGATACATATCTCATTACATATGACCCAACACGGGGACAATCAAATCGATACAAAATATTTCTATATGATTTGGCGCAGTAAAAATACTGATTGCTTGCTCCTTATTTAATGCTATGGCTCATTTTTTACTTAAGCATTTATTTTCAAGGTCTATTTATTTTTTGGCTCTCTAACTATAATCATACCAATATCAATATAACACACACACACAGTGAACCCATGCTTTTTAAGGTGTTCTTTATGTTGAAATATGCATACTATTCAGGTGGAAGGGCACTAAGTTGAATGAGTTAAAATGTCTTGTACATGAATATTTTTTGGTTGATTATCTTCTTCCATATGTTTTCACAAGTAATGTCCTTGACAAGAAACTTTTCCTAAATCTAATCCGATCCAAACGCTCTGATTCCCAGGGATTATAAACAACCTGATCTTGGTGATTTTCTTATACAGCGTACTGCATAATAATAACCGACAGTGCCAGTGTGATGAATGAATTATAAAAGCGGGTGTAGTCAGACTAAATGCTATGGCACATCAAGCTGCAATACTGTATATCACACATTACGAGGGTATTGCTTTTGGGTTGCCTTTTAGTCCAGACTTCCAGTGAACAGAATTAAAAAAAGGTCAACAAAACCAGCAAATAGTTTTTTTCAGGTCTTGGTGGGTATCAAAAGGCTTAGAATTGCAAGTATGACAAGGAGCCATGTGTGTTCACCCAGAGGCGCACACTTTCCAATGTTGTGTTTCTATATGTGGAGCATGGTGGCATCTTTACCTTTGTGACATGATCTTGTAGGCGTCTGGGAGATAGCAGTTGATGTTCTCCATCTGGAACGGGTCAGCGTCACAGATTTTGTCATCCGTGCGACCGTAGTTGGCACTTTCGATCATGATGACATCACTTCCTGGACACCGTAAGTCAATGGGGTAGCCCTCGCATGACAGCTCCCTCCTCACCAGCCCAAACGGCAAGGCGGCACGACTGAACCCTGCACACAAAGAAATAGAGTTGAGTCAGAATAAAATACAAAAATAAGGACAAATTTCCCACGTATACATATGGTACTATATTTTTTTTATTTAATTTATCATTGTGGTTTCAACAATAATCCGCATCATGATTTATGCAAGACTTTTGAATTTGATTGTACAATATTGGAAGTTCCAAACAAATTACAAAAATCCTGTAAATGGTTTTTCTTCAAAGCAATAGTTCCGTCATAATTAAGTGAAGCATACTTAAAGTTAACTTTGCACTGGAAACATCTGGTCAGGTACTGTATGTAAAAGAGATACAACTTTTAGGCTCAGCCAACATGATAAATGTACGACGTATCTGATAATAGGTCCTGCATGTTCATCAACGCGGCTACCCAAAATCTAATGGTCGGGGAACGATATCGATATTGATCTACGATAATTCTTGCAATTGTGGAGAGGCTCAAAAAATAGTTTCCCTTGCCATGTCCTAGTCGTAATTGTCCACCATTGTTCAACCCCATCTGCTGAACGTTGCATCAGGGTCAGTCGCACATTCGGTTTTGAGCACCATTGATGTCTATTCTGCCCATTGCCCGTTTATGAGCTCTTGAGGCAGCCTTCAGGTCCCAATTCCTTCAGCATGTAACCCTGGAGCGCTTGATAGATACAGCCTTCGGGTTCCAGTTTTTTCCTTGTGCAACTTTGGTGCTCATGTTAATAGGCAGCCTTCAGATAACTGTTTTTTCTTCCTTGTGTACCTTTGGTGCTCATGATAGAGGCAGATTTTGGGTTACTGTTGTCTGTATAACTCTGGAGCTTTTGATTGCCCCTTTTTATTTACTCCCGTGTCTTAGGGAGCTACAGCCTGTGTACATCCCAGCTGCTCTGAGTTGGTCTACATTGGGTCTGGTTCCTTGTCTTGGGCAAGCTCCAATCACTTTACACTGGCCTGATGGGAGTACAGTACATTGGTACCTATGGCCTCCACGTAGCAAAGCCCAGTAAAAGGGCGGAGCATTAATGATGTAGTTCTAGTTGTACGAGTTAATGCATAGCACCTTCACCTCTGCTCTTGCCTTGGCGGAGCTTGAACGAGTGGTAGAGTAGGGATTGGAGTCCTGTAAACGGTCTACGCATTAACTCATAGAACTACAGTTTCATTAGGTAACTTGAATTTCCATATCCTTCAAGTGCTGAGTATTTTTGCTTTTCTGTTTAGTGCTTATCTCTGTCATACGCAACTTTTGCCCAAATGTTTGCATAAACCCCTGTAACTGGAACTTCTGGAAGGCTTCAGCAAATAATGGGGTCAAACTGTCTGATTTTCCACAATAGTCAGACATAAACAACCAGGATAGGTCAACTGAGATGTTTGAGGACAGCGCAACCATGTCAACCAAGATCAAGATTGTATTCACTCATGGGAGAAGTGTATGCATAGAAATTGAACACTCTGAGTGGTCATGTGGCTGTTTTAGAATGAAGAACAATACTATTTACATGGAAACACAAATGTTGTCTCTTTACTCAGACAACAATGTGGTAATCAAATAAAAGTAGGGTCGATTTTGATTTTTGCTTGTTTTCGCTTCACCCTGGCCATTTTTGCGCTTGGAACTATTGTCTCCTTACAATACTTCCCTGAGCTGTTTGCTGCCTATTAAAACCAAATTATTGCCCATAAATAATTTTGGCAATTTCTGAAGTGAACATTTCTTCTTTGCAAGGTCGCAATTTTCCCATTTGTGGTAGCACAGGGATAGCACAGCAGACTAGCACAGTAGCCTTGATACTTGTTTTACAGTATTTTATTTCACAATGAATTGACGAAGTAAATAGTTTAATTATGATTTCTGATGGCCAAAGATAGAGTGTTCTTTAATGACAAATGCACTCTTGCCAATGTTTGTTACCATTTCAGTTTGTTGCAATACTTCGATTAAGCCTAAATTTAATTATCTCTGGACTGAATGGTGTAATGGATCATTATGTATTGCTGCGCCTCCTGTTTGCAAAAGGCTACAGTTGTACTTTGCAAAGGAAGGTAAATGTCACATTTGTAATTGTGGACCAGGTTTGCAAAATCAAAGCTATGCAAAGATAATATATAATATATTGCTGCACCTCTGCAGCCAAATATATTTGGCAGCATGAATTAGGGAAAGAGTCATTTATGTTGTTGCTACTATATCTTGTGACAGAAGCAGCTTGAGTGGCCACGCTTTAAAATATATTATAATTGAGCCGTATTTTTGTGGCTTTCTTATCATGTTGTGTTAAAATCAAATGCTAAAAGTTAATAAACTATTCATCAGCCTTAATATATTGTGTATAAAAAAGCCCTGGTGAGAAAATAAAATGCGTGTTACAGAAGCTGACAAGCAATTTCAAGTTCTTGTCAATGCACTCCAGCTTCATCGTCAAAAGTCAAGCAATACAATGTGTAGCCACACTATCGACCCATGTAAAACATCAGTCACTGTCAAATGGCGTGTCTCAAACTGTGATGAGGAAGAGCAGATGGAAGCAGGGCTGCGTTCACAACAGTGTATGCATGTGCTGAGTGTGAAAACAGTCATGTTACATACTGTACATGTCAGATATTGAAGGATTCAGGGATACACAGTAAACATTGTGCGACATATGCTTCTTTAAGTCTTTTCTAGATTGTAGTCAAACTGTCCCAAGGTTTTTTTGTAAACATGTGTTCGGTGGTCATTTCTGTCAGATATACAGGTTTTTTTTTTTTATAAAATGTACGATGACAACTACAGGAGATTCAGTTTAGTTTGGTTTATTTTGATTATAATTTCTGTAACAGTAATAAGAGGGGGCTCACAGGGTCACAGATATAATCACAACAAATGCTAGTCAGCGTATGTGCCTTGTGAGATTTTAATTTATAATTTGTTTTGTCAGATACATGCCTCAAACATCTAAACACATTTTAAAAGTGTTGACATTTGTATTATAATACATTTTAAACACTAGTTTTTACTTTTACAGCAAATAAGAAGTGCATTGGCTCGTGGTGCAAACAAGTTCTAAAAGCAAAAAATAAACAAAAAGGCATGCATTGAATATCTTCGGAAAACGTCTACTATGCACTATGTACAAACAATAGACATTATAGTTGTCTACACTAAATAGAAACATGGATAGTAATCAAGAACAGAGTCATTGGCAGTTTGAATGATATGTATGCAGTGATGGAATGTGGGGTAACACTGTGGTGAAAACATTGTTCATAGCGACTGAACTAATAGCGATATTTGTTTGGAATCTGTAGTGAGCTTGTGACACTAATTTAAGGCTGGTCACACTGCATCTGTGGAAAGGTAAAATCTTCATTAAACTCCTGTGTATACGGTCTCTGTCATGTCTCTTTAGACTTAGTTGTCTGGCCTCGTGCATAATACTGCAGCCTTTTTTGTAGATCTGTAGATTTTTCTTCCCCCTGCTCCTTTGTGGTTTCCTTTTCCCAATTATGACAATAATAAATCTTAAGTTTTAAAGCACTTGATTAATTGGTGGAACATACCGGCTGTTTAAAAATGCAGAGATCCCTTCTGCTGTAAACCTCACAGTCTCAGAGGATGTAATCAATTCAATTTAAATGAATAACTTCTTACACGCATTTTCAGAAGTCACAACAGCAGAATAAAGCTGCCCTAATTACACAGACAAAAGAAAATGAACTCCAGAAATGGTGTATTACACACACTGAAAGATAAATACTATTTCTAAAGCCTTGTTTTATAGAAAATTGTGGTGAATTAAATGTCCTCTCTGTAATTTGTCACATTTGTATTTGTCACATAAAAATAGTGTAACAATTGCAAAATTAAATGGCCCCAAAAAAAAAAACACTGAAGAGCCTTAAAGCTGGGGTGCCTCACTTTCAAACCACAATCACTAGTTTTCGCATGTATGTATTTTTGGCCGACATGCGGAAAGTGAAAAAGAGTGGACCACCTTCACTCAGCAAATCAGCTCCAGCCTCTCAGTCATTGGGTTCTTCAAATATTCACAAGAGAAAATGTTTCTAGTAAGATAAAGGCAGCACGGTGTGGTTCACATAATATTACTTTTCAGGACTCTTTTGGATGGAATGAATAAAATGGATGGAAAAAAGTTCCCCAGCTTTAAGTTCAAGTACAACAAACTCTATTTCTTGAGTTTCTCCAACACCACTGCCACACACTATAAGTAAGCCAACCTACAAAGTCTACTTTCTTATTATTTTTATTTTTATGACGCAAATACTACATCTTGACCTGTCCAATTATCACAAAACAAAAGTCTTCATAAGCTATGTATGTATTTATTAATTCATTAAGTCATTGAGATGAATCATCTCTTTTATGAGGGGATTATTAACTTTATGTTTTATAATTGAAAGGGTAAAATATGTGTCTCTTTAGCTCTCACTCAGTCGTCCCCAAAAATTCAAAAAGCAAAAACTGATTGTTGCCCAATGTTTTTCCTGCAGAATATCCCGGAGCATATTTGCGTTTGCAAGCGTTTGCATGCGATGGGCTGTTGTCATCCTGAGATCTGCCAGTTCACTTTGGCCTGGTTACTTTGTGGGCTATGCGTCTTCCAAGCTTGATCTCCAAGTCCTCCACCAAAACCATGGATGCGCCGAGTGTCCCAAGAACGCTGGGAAAACACTTAAATAACTGCTGGGCCAAGTTCTTTTCTGCTTTTATGATTTACAATAAAGCAGGAAAACAGGCTGATGCAACGTGTGCAACGAGACATGTTTTTGCAACTTTACAAATGATGAATGTGGCTGAAAAATATGTTTTTCGGTCCAGATATGTGCCAAAAGCCTAAATGGCCCATGCTTAAGGACATTTTATTTCACTGTGGTTTGGACCAGACAGAGCTAAAGCATGGTCATAAACAAGCCGGACAGACTCTGCCTCTCCATTGATTGTGCTCGAGGTTGAACTAATTTTTTACTCTGAAGTTGACGGTTATTTTTGGAATAGGATAAATGTGA